ATCAATTTATTTAAGTACTATTTTATTTCACTGCCAATTTTGAGTTCAATACTAATTTTTTTCATCACCAATTTATTTCACTACTAATTTAGTGCAGCATTAATTTATTTCAATACTAATTTATTTCATTATCAATATATTTCATTACTAATTTAGTGGAGTACTAATTTATTTCCTTATCAATATATTTAATTATCAATTTAGTTCAATGCTAATCTGTTTCAATACTAATTTATTTCACTATTCATTTATTTCAATACTAATTTACTTCATTGCCAATTTTGGATTCAATACTAATCTATTTCATCATCAATTTTTTTTTTTATCTTACTACCAATTTATGTCACTACCAAATCATTTCAATACTAATTTATTTCATTACCAATACATTTCATTGAATTTCATTAAATCCGTGCAAGCAGCAAACGGTTATATCAGTAACTGAGATAGTTCTGACGGTCGCCGTCAGATGACCACCTTTCGCCCTGCTATGTGCGTCATCGATCCGTATATATACCATCCACAGCCGTCCCTAAGTTGTCCATATCAGTCTTTTTCCCACCCTTTTTTCTTGAATCCTTATTCCTTCCTTCTCTACCCTTCCTAATTATCAATATTTATTATCAAAGTTTTTTGCAAATTTTCTTTGACTATGTCATCATTTACAGATACCCACTTCAAGTAGTTGACAACATTCACCTTGATGCCCGGTAAGCTGGTAACTTCTGGCAGGCACGGGCCTGCCCACCTCAATACAAAAAAAACCCTAAGTTGGTCCATATCAGCGAGGACAGTACTAGGACCAGATCAAAGTTATTCCTTCACTTTCGTCCAATCCTTCATCAATAACAATGCTTCCGAACAATATTAAAAACTCGACTTGTTTATTGTGTCTCTGTAATTCATGGTTTTTTCTAACCCCTGGTTGCCAAATCAGCGGCGCGGTTGCTCTCTTCGGACAATTCGAAAGGAAAAGATTTTTCGCTGCCACTTTTGTTGGTGACACAATTTTAACGTACGAACGAGAGAAACACACGCCGATCAGAAAACTAGTTTTTGGTAGCACAGACGTCATCCAGTAATGGACACGTCACGGTCCATTTGATTCGTGGCTCTCGACACCCGCGGAGTCACTGGATTTTTAGAGATTTCTCGGGCAGCGTCGGTTCTAACTGGCAACAACAAGCTGAGCTATAATTGCAGCTAAGACAGAGTTTCTACATTGTGTTGCCTTTACGAAACCGTGACGATTTGATGCGAATTCCGTTTCATCGAAGCCTAAATGATCGATAGATTTCGCCGCTCCACTAATTCCCTACTAAAATGAACTTTTTATCGGAGACCATAGTAGCCCGCGATTAAAAAAGGAGAAATCAAGAGAAATGGGAAACGATTAACCGAAACAAATACCGTGTTAAATTCCGTTTAGAAAACATGATCATAAAAAGCATGGCTATAAAGGCTGCATGGTCTAGCGACTACGGCGGGGAACCATGTGCGTTGAACGCACGCGATCCCAACGCACTGATCCATCGTGATCTTCCTTATGACTCTTTCCGCGCTCCTAATGGCCGCCATTGGCGTAACGATTAGTCGTTCCGAGTGCCGCGAACGATGCCTGTTAATGTCTCTCTCTCTCTCTCTCTCTCTCTCTCTCTCTCTCTAAACGACGAGTGCGAACCACGCGAAGAGCTGATCGACGATTTGTTCCCATTGGAAGCCGGCGTGGCGCTGCTATAAACTCCGTAATGGAGCGACCATAACAAATGACGGCTGTAAACGGATCCGATCATTTGCATACCGATGCTCGAGATATCTCTCTAGGGGGAGAACGCTGGCGTTGATTTCCATTCATGAATGGAGCCGTTCGACTTCCGGCAAGTTTTATTTAACTTTTTTGGTTAAATTGGTTCGTTTGATTAATTTTCACTTCTTTTTTAATTATCACAGGCGGCATCTCCGAAAAATTTTTGACAGAGTCCGTGCATTTCGTCAAACTTGGCGGTTTTCAATATGACAAACATGGCCTCACTTTTAAAGGGTTACATTGGCGGGGGTGCATCAAACTTAAAATCCAGAAATAATGTCTCAAAGTAGAGGTTTCAAGCTTCAATTTTAAAAAAGAGTTATCATCCTACGATGATTTCTTGCGGAGTTATCGTCGGTTAAATTTGGCCAAGTTTTATCCATTTGTCTGCGCTATAATTCTTTTTTGTGCGGTAGAAATTGTAGAAAAAGTCTGTGGAATCCAAAGATTACAATTAAACAATTAGTGACTAGGATACTGTTTGAAATGTATCTTGGAACAGAAACGTGTTGTAGATATATTAGAAATGAACTTTATTGCACTCGTAGTAAGTCGTGGGTTCCTTCACGGCGCGGTCAACCGTTTGGTATTCTAGGTAAAGCGATGACCATTGCGGCACTAAGTTGGGATGGGTAAACCCTCTGCGCGCTGTGTTGATTGTGTTTGTTTTCTCTCTCTCAGCCAGCAATATTAGTTCGAGAAATTTCTTAAGTAGTCAGCAAACTAACTTAGACATCTGAAATCTTGTCAACATTCTAAAAAGTGTATTTAGAAATACACTTTCAAAGAGTGTTCTTTTCAAGTTTTCTAAGGATAAAATAAATAAATAAAAAAAATAATAATCGCCAAATAAAAAATATTGGAGATTAATAAATTGGGACCCATACAAAAAGGGGGGGGGGGGGCAGATAAGATTGGATATTCTCATTTTAAGAGCTTTCTTAGAAATAGCTCGAAATATTTGAACTTTGTCTAAGTTATAGCATAATCGGGTCTGTCCTAAGACCGCGGGTTTATAATTAATTACTCAGCGATTTAGAGAAAAGCCCTCCGGCACGTCAAGATAAGATTGTTAATCTGAGAACTACTTGGATGTTGATCGAACGACAACTCGGCGACGTTCATATTTCCCATCTTTATGTTATTGTGGACGCGATTAAAATCTCGTGAAACTCCGAGATTTCTGCGATAAGAGACTACTCCGTCCCTTTCTCTGCGATAATCGTTCATGATAATTTCGTAATTGATCCGAGCTGATCCATTAAAACCAGATGTCCACGTGGTGAGATCCGTGATCTACATGCTTCTTCGCGAGAAGGAAAGAGCTGAACTACTTTCAACCATTAAACAAACAGAGACGACTTGCTTTTCCACGGTACTGGAATCCTCCACACGGAGCACACCGGTTAGAGGAGAATTNACAAAAAAAAAGGGGGGGGGGGGGGGCAGATAAGATTGGATATTCTCATTTTAAGAGCTTTCTTAGAAATAGCTCGAAATATTTGAACTTTGTCTAAGTTATAGCATAATCGGGTCTGTCCTAAGACCGCGGGTTTATAATTAATTACTCAGCGATTTAGAGAAAAGCCCTCCGGCACGTCAAGATAAGATTGTTAATCTGAGAACTACTTGGATGTTGATCGAACGACAACTCGGCGACGTTCATATTTCCCATCTTTATGTTATTGTGGACGCGATTAAAATCTCGTGAAACTCCGAGATTTCTGCGATAAGAGACTACTCCGTCCCTTTCTCTGCGATAATCGTTCATGATAATTTCGTAATTGATCCGAGCTGATCCATTAAAACCAGATGTCCACGTGGTGAGATCCGTGATCTACATGCTTCTTCGCGAGAAGGAAAGAGCTGAACTACTTTCAACCATTAAACAAACAGAGACGACTTGCTTTTCCACGGTACTGGAATCCTCCACACGGAGCACACCGGTTAGAGGAGAATTTTACCTATTGTATATTCTAATTAAGTGAACGATCACGGAATCTCTCAAAGAACAGAAAAATGTTGTCATGGAAAAATGAATCCATGGAGAAAAGAAAAAATGGATAAATAAAAAGGAGGAGGAGGAATCATGGAGGAATGGAAAACTTGTAAAATTGAACAATGGAGAAAAGAAAGAGTAGATGAATAGATCGAAGGAACTATGGAAAAATCTAAATGGAATCATGGGAAATTGTAAAATAGACAACTACGGAATTGGAGAAAGGGATAAATGGAAATCATAGAAAAATTGAATACATTGGAAGATGGAATCCTGGGAAAATTGAAAAATTGACCTACATTGGAAGATGGAATCTGGGAAGATAGAAAAATAGAAAAATGAAACCTTGGAAAATGGGAACTTGTAAAAATTGAAAAGTTGAAAAATTGAAAAATTGAAGAATTAAAAATGTGAAAGTGGGAAAATCGAAAAGTCGAAAATGGAAAAATAGAACGAAATAAAAATTGAAAAATGAATACGTCGATAAAAAGAAGCACCGTGTTCACTACAAATGATATCATCAAACACAAGGCAACTCCTTACCTCATAGAGCATGCCCAGCGAGAAGACCACCTGGAACGCGTTGTAAGCAAGCAGAGCGCCTCTCAGTTTAAACGGCTTCCTATTGGCCATCACTCGGGGCCCGAATATCGTGACAATGTACAAGTAGAGGAGCACAATGAGAATGGTGGGGATTGGTGAGTCCATCAGGGGCCAGTCGCCGACCCTCGGGTCGGAAATCGTGGTGAGTATCTGCGTGTATTGGTCCAGTGCCATCCGCACGAGACCCTGAGCACCGACACCCATCAATGTCCTATTCATGTCCGTTATCTCAATGATGGTCTCCGGGTTCCTCTCCACAACCAACTCTGCTGCTGCCGCCGCCATTGCTGCGAACAAGAATACACAATTTTTCTTCTAAGAATAAAATATAATTTTCTTTTTGGACGTTTAGAACGTTGGGGCTCGTTTTTAAAATTTGTCTATAATAATTGAATTTTAAATATGACTAATGCATATTGTTCCATTGTAACTTCTGTTATAGTAACTAATAACTACTTCTGTTATGACTACTGAATTTGTGCTAATACAAGAAGAATTTAAAAATACTATTGCATTAGTTTCACTGTATTAACATCATTTTTATCTAAATCCTGGTTTATATAAATAATGAGTATAATTTTTACTTTGCATAAATATTAATTCTAAAAAAAACTGTTGTCAAATAGAAATTTCCCTATTTTAAAAATTCTCTATTTCTCTACCAATCTAATCAAAATGATTGGCTCCTGATTTTTTCTTTTACATTCCTAATATAATAAAAATGTTTCAACCCTTGATATTCTTAACTGAAGATTTATATTCTAGCAAATATTATAATATAAATCCTGCGAAGATTAACGTATAGATAGCGTTAAAAATTGTATCACGCTGAAAATAATAAAAACAATACAAATTTCCCGAAATTCTATATTATTAAATAAACGTTTGTTGCAAGTGAAGATGTTATTATAACTTAAGATTATATAATTTATTTTCTCATTTAAAAAGAAGAATTTTTTCATGTACAACATTCAAGTTTTATAGCGTTTAGTAAACGCTTGTTGAGCAATGATAATCCTGTTTGTTAATCGCCATATGGCTGTTGGGAGCGGTAGCTAATTTACGATCACGATTACGAGCACATACTGCAGAAGGTCGCATGCCGTCGTCTTGGACAAGTGAAAACGACGCTGTGCAACGATAATCCCAAGGATGACGTCCCCGACGAACTTCCTGACCTGTCGTGCGACAAGATCGTCGATCAACCGCGTTCTCTTTGTGCGCACGCGATCTTGGGAACGTGCCTAGAAACGCGGAACAGCGGACCTGCCTGACTCGAATTCGACTAGCCGCTTCATAGATCGTAGATCATGGACGATCCTCTCGATCCGTGTCCCGAAGAATCAACTCTGAACTTAGCTTCTTATCAGTAACACGGTAACTCGCTCGAAAACTCATTCGTATATTTTATTAAATATTTTGTGTATTCTCTGTACAGGGTGTCCTATAATTATATTAACATCCAGCAACAGATGATTCCTGAGATCATTTGAAGTAACTTTTTCCTTAGCGAAAATGCAATCCGCGGCTTTGTTTACGAGTTATTAACGAAAATCACTGACCAATAGGAGGCAAGATATGCTGGCGCGAGGCGGCCGAGCCAATCAGTGGAACTAAGCATCGTCCGCTCATTGGTGCAGTCGCCTCGCGCCAGTGGAGCTCGCCTTTCATTGGTCACTGCTTTTCGCTAGTAACTCCTAAACGAAGCCGCGGAGGAAATTTTTGCTAAGGAAAAAATTACTTCAAATGATCTCAGGAATCATCCCTTTCCGGATGTTAACATAATTATGGGACATCCTGTACATTAAAGTTATAAAAAAAATGAAACTTGCATAAAAGACATCGACATATAATTGAAATGTTTTAAGAAGTGCAATATAGGTGAAAAAAGAACTACATAATTGATTTGTTGAAATCTCTGGACGTCATTTTAACGGGCGTAGTAATTGACGAACTTACCGTGCAATTGTTTTTACAGAAAACATTGCACGAAATTAGGGCGATCTAACGTTTCTGAATCGGTACACAAAGTAAACATTTTTAATATTTACTATAATAACAATAATGTAGTACCTCGACCAGAGAGTCACGATGTTCGGCGTTTACAGAGACGCCGTGCCCAGAAAAAGATTAAACAAGCAATATAATAAATTATATGTCCAGCAATCGTCGCGTCAGCTTTATAATTGTGGCAACAATGGATAGCTGATGTTCTTCCGATTGAAATGAGTCCAAACACGGTGTGAATCAGATCACGAACAGCTTGTCACAATATATTGGGTGATCGAAATAACTGGATCACTTTGAGTATTTTACTTGCGTTTGATAATTCGACTAAATGTCGAAATAAAATATATTCTGTTGACTAATTGTAGGTTATTGGATAGATCTTGACCTCAGTTACTGTGTCGTAATGATATCAATGTGTACTCCGGTTTAAAAAAACGTCAATGAATAATTTCGCTTGTTCAAGTTGCATGAATCGTGTCGTTCTGATAACTAGATTGCTGATCATGTAAGATGAAAATTGCACTTACCTAACCTTAAAATATCTAGAACGTGACAAGTATTGGGTAGAGCTGCGTTAGGTTCGGGCTAGGTCTGAAATAAAAAGGCCGTGGAAAATGCAAAATTTTCTGCATCAGTTGCAAGATACAGGATCTAAATAAGACATAGTTATCGACATTAAACGTTTTAATACGTTGAACGTGACATGCACATCTGCATCGTTTACCTAGCTCAGACTTAATCTTAAAATGTCTCAACCGTAATAAGCGTAGATTAGGTCTGGTTTTAGCCTCGAATTCTATAAGTATATATTAGATATAATAATATATCGATATTGTATACTTAATCCAGACCTAACCTTAAAATGCTTCGAACACTGTATATATAGATTAGGTTGAAAGTGTACATTGGCATAGAATTTATTCAATTTGTTGAAAACTCCTTGATCGAAATAATTAAAATGGGCACAGTAATTGGTACCATTTGTCCTAAACAGGAATCAGGAATCCTGGAACGGGTAGAAACAAATTGAACTCCGCCGGCAGCAATGAATTTCCGGGCGAAGTTCGTTTTCAGAAAATTCCGGCTGAAAAATGATTGCTCGGCTGGCCAGTATTTTTTCAATTCTCCGCGTTCTCTTTTGCATAACCCTCGGCCACGTTTATTACTACATGCCGCGGCACCATAATTCACTCGTTTTTTCTTGGCTCTGTTGGGCAACAAAAGCACGGGGACCAGGGCACTACGATGTGTGGGCACGTTGCCTCAATAAATCTCCGATAAGTTTGTTCCCGCAGTCAGGTTTACGGCGCGTATTCATTACGGACGCGGCCGAACCGACGATTTTCGTGCATTCCTAGGTCGTTGTGCAGGAGCGGCATTGATGGTCGCCGTGTAATAAGCTGTTACTTTCATAAAGAGGCGGACAGGTACAAGAAAACCGGAGGATCGAGAAAACCGTTTCACTGAACCGGAAACCCGGTTTCAGTGAAAAGCGTCCCGTCGGGCGATATTGCGGGAGAATCGGGAAGGTAGTCGAAGAAGCAAGTCAACGATGAACGGCCGAGAGAGCGAGAACAGATAAACTTCGTCGATTTCGTGGAAGAGCCGATCACTGGCAATTTTCCACAAGACAAACACGGTCCCACATTTAAATGGTTCCAGTAATGATCGTGTGTCAAACCTAAAATCCAGAAATAATGTCTCAAAGTAGAAGTTTCAAGCTTTAATTTAAAAAAACAGTCATCATCCTACGATGATTTTTCACGGAGTTATCGTTGGTCAAAGTTGGCCAATTTTTACCGAAAATTTGTCCATGCTGCATTTTTTTCAACGGTGTATATCGTGAGTTATTTGGGAGACAGCATCGTTGCCGCGCGTTTCCTAAAATGTCACACGATGTCCATCGGTGACGTCATGGTCGAGCAGTTCAGCAAAGTAGTGGTAGAGGGCAGCAGGGTCGCCAGGGATGCTCCCACGTTTGTGATTGGTCGCGTCGCGTCGACTACGCTGCCCTCTCTAGCCCTACTCTGCTCAACTACTCGACTGTGACGTCATCGATGGGCGGCACATGATATTCGAGCGAATGCGCGGCAACGGTGGAGTCGACATTTATCCAAAATTATTTTGTTATAATTTTTCTGAACATTGTGGCTCGTTGTTGTCATAATGGGAAAGCAGAAAATATTAGAATTGTGGATAAAATGGGAAAATGGTAAAACAGAAAATAAAACGATGGAAAAATTGGAAAAGTAGAATAATGGAAAAATGAGAAAATGGCAAATATAATGATGTGAAGATGGAGCATTGAAGCATGAAAACATGGGAAAAGGGAAAATAGAACAGTGTAAAACTGGGAAAAGGGAAAAAAAGGAAATAAAACGGCGAACGAATTGAAAAAATGGAAGATTGACAAAAAGTACAATAGAAAAGTGTAAAAAACAAAGCATAGAAACCTGGAGAAAATGGAACCATGATAAATTGAGAAAACGAAAAAAGCAGGAAATGGAACCATATGGAAAAATAAGAATTAAATATGAAAATATCGAAGAATGGAACAATGGTAACATGGATAAATGAGGAAAGTAGAATAATGCGAAAATATAAACACAGGTTTTCCTTATCAAGGAAAATTGAGAAAATGGAAAGACAGAAATTGAAGCCATGAACAAATTAGAAAATAGAAAATACAACAATGTGAAAATGTAACCGTTTAAGCATGAAAACGTGGAAACACAGAAAAGTGGAACCGAGGAAATGAGGAAAATCGAACAACAGAAACTGGAACCACGGGGGCAAATTGGAAAAATAGAAAAATGGGAAAATGAGAAAATGGAAAATAAAATAATGTGTAACTGGAAGTAGTGAAACATGGAAAATGAAACCATGGAAAATCGGAAAAATGTAATCGTGGAAAATTCGGAAAATGGAAAACGGAAAATAAAACTGTGGAAAAATAGAAAAATGAGAAAATGAGAAAATGGAAAATAGAATAATGCGAGGAAGGAAGCTCGGTAGCATAAAAATTTGGAAAAATGGAACCATGGGCAATCTGAGAAATGGAAAACCCAAAAACTGAATCACTTATAAATCGGAAAATATTGGCGTGGCAATTTTTCTACAACCAATTTGCAAAATCCTTATATCCCTCGATTTTAAGCTTAATAGACCTACACTGAGATTGGCATCTGAGCCGTTCATATAGACGCCGGCGTCAACAAGTCGACTCTACCACCCATAGCGCTATCAACCTTTTGTATCAGCACCTAAAGGGAGCTGT